TAGTTATTCAGCACTTTTATAAATGCCTTATCTATAATCTCTACATTAGACTATGAGGTGTTCTAGGAAAACATACATTGCATGGGACTTTCTGAAAAGTCAGGAAAGCAGAGAAGTTTGTGAGCAAAACCGTCTTGAAAGTGGAGTCACTATGGCTCCATATTATTTTTGTTAAAAATGCTATGCAAAACATATTCAGTTACAGCCAAGGATATTTTCAAGGGAAGGTAGTAGGATAAGGTATGACTAAATATATACAACTCAATCTCCTTAGGTGCTAGAAAAGAAATGGGGGGAAGAGAAACAGAAAACAGGAGAGAAAATGTTCAGTACTGAACTTAAACCCAACAAACTGAGATGAATATGAATAATAATGTAACTTAGCGATAGAGGGGTGATTCTAGTATAAATCAATTTGAGTCGTTTTAAGAACTAGGATGGATACTAGAGTGTCCACCTTTATTTTTCTTATTTAATATTCTACCCTTCCCAGCAAAGTAAATATTTCCATATGAAATAAATTTTCTTTCTTTTTTTGTTTTTGCAGATAAAGTCTTGCTTTGTTGAATAGGCTGGAGTCCTGTGGTGCAATCTCTGCTCATTACAACTTCTTCATCCCAGGTTCAAGTGATTCCTTTCCCTCAACTTCCTGAGCAGCCGGGACTACGGGTGCCCACCACCACACCCAGCTAATTCTCATATTTTAGCAATGAAGGGATTTTACCATGTTGGCCAGGATGTTCTCAAACTCCTGACCTCAAGTGATATACCTGCCTTGGCTTCCCAACATTCTGGGATTACAGGTGTGAGCCACCACACCAGGCCTAAAGAAATAAGTATTATTTATCTAATTTTGTTACCACAGCATTCTGACCTGTTTCAGTAATTACTAATATTTCTACAAAATTGTAAAAGTACATATTTTTCCTTCCTAAATGTTGTATAAGCCTCAGCTTAAATCAGAGCCAAAGCAAAGATAACTGGTATAAACCAAACACTTGGCTTTTCTCATACATATATATGAGAAACGTATAGTCCAAAAAGCACAGGATCTACGCCAAAAAAAGATGTTGTTTTGAATTCTGCTGCGCCATTACTGGCTGAGTGACACTGGGCTTGTCACTTCACCTCTCAGAGCTTTAACATTCACCTTGCTTACTCACCTCTAAAACAAGGTGAATGCTACCTCAATTTAAGGATGATTATGAGAACTAAAAATTACATTCTTATATCATAGTATTTGCTTAATAAAAGACAATTAACAATCACTACTGTTATATTGTAAAGTAAAATTACATTTTAAAATACTAAACATGTATTTTGTGAATGTGTCCAGTGCAGATGTTTAAATTGGAAAAATCTAATTTAACATTCACTTTACCAAACTTAAGATATCATTTCAAAGAGTTTGATTATCCATATAATTTTATTAATTTTTCATCAACCATCTGAATAGGAATCAAGTTAACAAAATGACCTGTGTGACTCATTAGGATAAATACTGTTAACAAGTAAGCAGGAAAATGTATAGCTCAAAGCTTCATTTTGTGTCATTTTTGTCAATATATGTACCGAATACACTTATTAATGTCTGCTCCATGCCAGGCTTTTCAGAATCTGGCTTTAATCGAACTACTGAGCCTAATTTGCTACTAATCCCCATGATGACTCCTGCCTTTGGCTACGCATTGTTCAACTAGTACATACCACCTCTTCCCTTTGGCTGGAATGCGCCTCTATTTCTTGGCTCATGAGAACCTTGCAGCTTTTTATACTCCAGTGCAAATATTTTCTTTCCCTGATGCTTTGTTCACTATTCCTCTCCTAGAATAGGCATTGAGATGCAGGAGCAGCAGTGGAGTAGGAGTAGATTTTTGCTTAATATTATATGAGTTCTGCCTAGAAAGAGACCACATCAGGTTTCTACCGTTAAGGTAGGGTTTACAACACAATTCCTTGTACTCACTTGCATGTATGTGTTTTTTCATGTATGTCTACATTTGGGATCCTTTGATTGTTGGGAACAAATACCGTGATTAATAAAATACTTTCCACTCCCTCATGATACGTGATCCATAGAAAATGTTCTAGAAATACATGGTGAATGGGTGAGTGAAAGAAGGAAAGACTGCCAAGTTCTACTCAGTGACCTCTTTCAATTACAGTGACTTGAGAGAAGAATGAGGAGCATAAAACAAGAAAAGTAATCTTTCTGGTGTAATGAGGATTCTGTAGTCCTGGAAGAGAGATAATTTATCAGCATTAAAGTCACGCACAATGTCAATCAGTTTCACGGAGAGACCATGTGAGGTAGACAGATGACAAAAGATTAATCAAGCAACTGCTATAGGGCAAGATTAGTGTGCTGATTTCATGCAAGGTTGACAGATAGATAAAAAGGTAAAGCAATATATTCTGTGAGGCACTAGGGTGTTGCTCCTATTGCTGGAAAGTGACAGTAGCAAAATATATGAAAATTGGAAAGTATCAGCTTAATTGGAGAAAAATGTATAGGCATTGAAAAAACTAGGTTTTGCCAAGAAATCATTAAGCTAGCAAATATACAAATAAATTTATTAAATTGTTAGTAGTTATTTGAATAATGTACTAGCTTCTTTTAGGACAGAATACTACAAACAATGTCATATATTTACATTAATATTTGTGAAATTCAATGTTTCCTAGGAATACAGACAACTAACACTAATAGACCTAGATTTTCAGTAATCACCAGTAGCTGAAAACCAAAATATAGTATCAAAAATTTAATTGTTTTTGGAGAACTTAAGTTTAGGTTTAATATCACAGATGAATGTAATTAACTTTATTGTGGGAACTAGGTTTCTTAATGTTAGAGAAGTAAGGTACTGATAAGCAAGAAGGGAGATTAGAATAAATGCTGTAGTACTGAATTTGAGTTGTGGACATCAGTAACAACTTATTTTTGACTTAATATACATATAGATGGATAGAGAAACAATTATAGGTGTGTACACCAACAGGGGTTATATACGTATAATCAAGCACCGTCCTATGTGAGAGTCTGGAAGCAATGACAACTCAGCAACAGTTATCTAGCCCATTGCCAGATCTTGGTTTTTAAATATCATTCTACAATGAAAAGAATCAGGACTCCTTACAGAAAAGGTCTTACTAAGGCTAAGGCAAGGAATATAAAAGACAATGTATAGAGAGCTTCCTGTAGTGACAATAAGCATGGAGATGTTCAGAAAACAAAAGGATGGACATATACCAATAGCACCCCATGTCTAAAGCTGGACCAATTTGAACAGCGTAATAAATAACAAGTAACATAATATCAGACTATAACCCAAAGTGCAAAATAAACCTAAATTGCCAGCAATGATAGACTGGATAAAGAAAATGTGATACATATACACCATGGAATACTATGCAGCCATAAAAAAAGAACAAGATCACGTCCTTAGCAGGAACATGGATGGAGTTGGAGGCCATGATCCTTAGCAAACTAACACAGGAATGGTAAAGCAAACACTGCATGTTCTTACCTATAAGTAAGAATTAAGTGATGAGAACACATAGACACAGAGAGAGGAACAACTCACACTGGGGCCTTTCAGAGGGCAGCAGATGTGAGAAAAGAGACAATCAGGGAAAAATAACTAATGGGTAGTAGACTTAATACCTGGGTGATAAAATGATCTGTACAACAAACCCCCATGACTCAGGTTTACCTTTGTAACAAACCTCTACATGTATCCCTGTACTTAATCATTAGAAAATAATATAATAATATAAATACATAAATATACATGAGCCCATACTGATTTAAATTAATGACTAAATTTTTTTTAAGTGGGAGAGAAGACACAATGCTTCAATGCAAAAATATCAAGGACTTTATGTAAATACTCTCCTCTCCTGGAGAGTAGAATATATTTAATGACTCACTTCCAAGGAAAAGACTATAGGGAAAAAAAGCAGTTAATTTAGAGTGGATAAAACTTGCAAAAACACTTTAACCACCTGATGAAGGTTAATGTTACCAGTGATGTTAGGGGATATTATAGATGTGATGAGAAGAGCATTTCACCTGTATGGCCCTCTTTCTGAAAATCCATAACCCCAGTCTAATCCTGAGAAAAGTGTCAGGCAAATCCCAACTGAGAGACATTCTACAAACGCCTATCCAGTACTCTTCAAGCTGTTGATGTCATATGAAAAACAAAGAAGATGAAACTGTCAAAAACAAAACAAGAAGCTATGACAACTAAATATAATGAGGTGTCCTGAGCTAGATCCTGGCACAGAAAAATACTCTAACGGAAAACTGTAAATAAAGTCTGGCATTTAATTAATAGTGACATACCAGTGTCAGTTTCTTCTTTTTGACAAATGTGCCAGAGTAATCTAAGATGATAACATTAAGGAAAACTGAAATTGGGTGAAGGGTACAGGGGAATTCTGTAGTTAACTAGAAACATTTATGTAAATACAAATTATTCAAAATGAAATGTTTATTTTAAAAAATATGGGTTAGTTTCCTAGCATCAGATTTCTGATCTAAACTGCAAATCTCACCATTTTGCCTCCTTACTTATAACCATTCATTGTTCCTCTGTCTCTATGAGATGAAGACAATGCTTCTGAGTGAGACGGTGCAGAGCCATCCCTTGCTTTGCTTTTCAGCCGCACTTCTAGTACTTCCCCTCTATACCCTAAAATCTAGTTTTACCAAACTTTTAGCAGTGTTTAGAAACACGTAACTTTTCTCCACCTGATAAGCCCTACAAACACATATTCAGTTCATTTTTTTTTTCACTCTATGAGTTCTTCCTGAATTCCCTTGAAGTCAGTTAGGCACTCTGTTTTGCTCACATGGCACTCTGCACTTCCCCCTACAGGAGCCTTTATCACATTTTGGGGGGCAACTCATTAACAAGAGTTGCCAGTTATGTACCAGAACTGTGTTGAAAGTTTACATATATCCTATCAGAAAAGAAACATGAAGTACTCACCACTGAACTCCAGCGTGGGTGACAGAGTGAGACTCCATCTCAAAAAAAAAAAAAAAAAAAAAAAGGATTAAAAAAGAAAATAGAAACATGAAGTAAATGTATCCAAGGCAATACAGCTAAGAAATTAAGGGCCTGTAATCTGAAACCAGTTATTAATTATTATTCTGAAAGCCTGGGGTCTTTCACGTAGAACATACCACCCTTCTGAATGCTGTGGATTCTTGCAGTTTACTTTTCAGCTCCCAGACCCCTCACTGCACCTTAAACTCATTAATTCAGCAGGTTTTAATAAAGACAGCCCAGTCTCTGAAATTAGATAACTTGAGTTCCATCCTTAGTTCTGGTTTCATCACTTACCAAAAATGTAACCTTGAGAAAGAATCTAAATCTTCAGTTGGGTTTCCTAGCAAATGCAAGGATACCTAAAGTTTATTAAAAATTACACAACACCTGGCACATTAGTGAGCATTCATAAACATTAAGAGTCTTCCAAGAATATCAGGGATTTTGTTTTGTTCACCTTTATATCTCAAACACTAGAAAAATAAACACAGGTCGGGCGCGGTGGCTCAAGCCTGTAATCCCAGCACTTTGGGAGGCCAAGGCGGGTGGATCACGAGGTCAAGAGATCGAGACCATCCTGGTCAACATGGTGGAACCCCGTCTCTACTAAAAATACAAAAAATTAGCTGGGCATGGTGGTGTGTGCCTGTAATCCCAGCTACTCGGGAGGCTGAGGAGGGAGAATTGCTTGAACCCAGGAGGCGGAGGTTGCAGTGGGCCAAGATAGCACCATTGCACTCCAGCCTGGGTAACAAGAGTGAAAACTCCATCTCAAAAAAAAAAAAAAAAAGAAAAATAAACATATAAGGTAGGTGCTTAAAATATTACTATTTGACACAAATAAACATCTATATACATGTATATGTGTACGTAATATATATGATATATTTCTATGTGTCATACAGAGAAAATATATTTGATACATATATTTATAAATATATATTTATATCATACAGATAAAGAGAGATTTGGTTTAGAAAGTAAAATAGAGGTTTTAACTACTTGGGAAAATAGGAATTTAAAAACAACTGAATTACTGTTTTGGAAAAATATAGTTGTGTCATCAGTGGTTATATTAGTCCAGGGGTTATCATGACAGTTATGTGGAAAAAACCTGTCCTGCATCTATATCAATGATGCTGTTACATCATACGAAAACTCAAGTCTTTCCATTTGAGAAGAATAAATGTTAATAATTGCCTCTGCATCAGGAAGAGCTCCACTAGCAAGTGATAAGTTTAACAGTTTGGTGGACTTTGAAATTTTAATTTAACTTGAATCTATGTGTCATATTCTATTATCCTTTTACAAGAGAAATCAGAATGCTATTATTTACAGCCTTGTTTTTTAACATTGAAATAAAAAAAGGCAAAATGCTTCAAATCCCACTTGACTTGCAAGACTAAAACTTCACAAACTGAAATGACAAATGTATTATTTGTAAAATACGGTTACAACTAGTTTTTTTTTTTTTTTATAACAATTTGTGGTGAAATGTAATGGGAAAGCAGATACATTTTTTTAAAGATTCAATTTTAAAAGTAAAATTGAAAACTTAGGAAACAGAAGAGCACTCACGTTTTAACAGGAATTTTAAAATGTCATCTACAAACTACAGATACAGGCAATCGGTGACACCAAATAAAAAAATATCGAAGAAGTTAAGGTAATGCATATTTCAAAAAGCCATTAGCAGGAGTCCCTTGCAAGAATTCCGCTCAAGCATTCTATTCTCACACATGACATCAGGCAAACACAGGCATTTGCTGTGTCTTTTCAAAGTTGAATGGGAGACACTGGGTTCCCTGGCGTTTAAGGAGAACGTCCCCTAATGACTCTCACAGTTACTGCAATCAGGAGGTTGTATGTACGAACTGGATCAGGAAATGTCAACCACACAGGGGACATCAGAAACCAGTCACCCACGGCCGCCGCGGTGACTGCTGCTGAGTGTGGCACAAGCTCAGCACGGGGCGGCCAGATGAAAGGACCATCTCGGAGGCGCCTCTGGAAGGAAGTGAGACTGCAGCCCTGAGACGCTCTCGGATCATCCCTTTGCACTTCCCCTCGGTCAGAGCTCCCGACATCAGCCCTGAAGTGCGGAGGTCTACCTGGAGGGGGCGCGGGGCGGACTGAGCATTCGGGAGTCCCAGACGGGAGCAGACGTGCGCGACGGACGCCGTTCGCCTGTCGGACCCCGGTGCCCACCGCCCCGAGCCCTGCCCTTCCGGCCCCTCCTCGGCCTCAGTGCAGTGTCCGCCCCGCCCCGGCCGCAGCGCAGAGGGGAAGGGTCCCCCGGAATGCGTGACTTCATCACTTTCCTCCCGTGCGCTTCACACGGTCCCTCCTCCCGTCTTTCAGAGTATTCGAGGCCTCATCCTGGCCAATACCCTAAACTTTGTTATTTGAAATAACCTTCCACCCCCTCGTCCGCTTCCCAGGACCCTGGAACTTCCCCGGCTCCTCCCCGTCCTCACCTCCTCCACATTCTGTCCTCCGGGTCCCGGCCGCTTCCACCCGCCCGGGGCTGCCCTTTGCCCGGCCGTTCTCCTCACACGGCTCGCCGAGTCCTTTCACCTCGTGCGTTCCCGCGCCAGGCTCTGCAGATTCCCGGGCCGTTCGCTCGTGAGAAGCGTTTGCTGCAGCGCGGACCGGAGTTGCCCGCGCGCAGCCCAGCGGCCGAGGAGGGCGAGGCTGAGCGGGAAGCCAGGGCTGTGGGAGCGGGAGGCAGCCCGTCCTCCTCGCCAACCCGCAGGGATGCGGCAGGGGCCGGGGAGCACGGGGAGGCACTAAGCCCCCGGAGCCCCCGCCTGGGGCTTGCAGACCTGGCCCGGGGGCCCGTTTTCCGCCTAGCGCAGCCCGAGAAGCACAGGTGCCCGGAAAACCAAGAGAGGGGCGCTGGGGGTCCCTCTGCGAACCGAGGAGGAGAGGAGGGAGTCAGCGAGCGGCGAGGAGGGAAAGCGTTTCTTCAGACCGGCCCCGGAGCGTCCGGGAGGCGGGGGCGCCCCGGTAAGCGCCGGGCGGAACGGTGGGCGCGAGGCGTGTGCAGGGAGTGCGCGCTGGGGAGGGGACGCCGGGAGGAAGCGGCGCTCGGGGCTGGGGCCGGCGAGGGGAGATGTCGGCGGGTGCGAGCGGGGAGCGCGTGCGGCGGCCGCGGCGCCGGCGTCGGGGTGTGTGTGAGGAAGCGAGGGGCGAGCGCCAGTGCGAGTGAGGCGAAGGCAGAGCGCATGTCTCATCCGCGAGCAGCCGCCAGACGCTCCACCACCATCTTTTGCATGTGCAGCCTTCGCAGCCGGACGGAAAACCTCTCCCGGGGCGATGGGGACTGCGGGAAAAACCTGGCGGCTCGCGATGGATGACTGAGGGGGAGTCGCCGGCATCCGAACCCGCCGCAAACCGCTCTCCTTTTTTTTTCTTTCTTTCTTTCTTTATTTTATTATTATTATTATTATTATTATTGGCTGATTTTGGATCTCAGCGCCGTCGTCTTCGATGCTCCTCTGAACAGCCTTGAGGAAGAGAGCGCGCGCCGGGGAGAGGCGGAAGGAAGATGAGGATTATCTGCACACAGCTTGTCTTGCTGTTTTCCGGATTCTGGGGACTCGCCATGGGCGCCTTTCCGAGCAGCGTGCAGATAGGTAAGGGGTGCCCCGACGGGCGGCGCCGGTGCTGGGCCAGCGGGTCCCGAAGTGAGTTCACTGAGTTGCCGATGAGCAATCCGGGGAAACCTGCGGCGGCTCCCCGCCCCGCTCTCACCCTCTTCCTCCTCCTCTCTTTTCCAAAAAGGCTTCTGTAGTGCAGGTGCCTTTGGAACGCGCCCAGGGCAGCCCACCCAGCCGTCCTCAGCCCACAACCCTACTCCACCTCTGGCTCTAGCCGCTTCAGTAGGTTTGAAATAAGTTGGGGGAAAACCTTTGGGGAATTTGGTTGCATTTTATATGATAATCGTTTTCATTCCTTTCTCTAAAGTGTAAAGTGATGTCAAGTTTGTTTAAAAAAGAAAAAAAAAAAAAATCCACTTCTTCCCATGCTGGACGCCGCAGCTTTCTTGCTGTTACAGAAAGAGCCTGTTTGAGGAAAAAGACATTACCACCCGCACCCCGGCCTTTCCTGGCCACCGGGTAGCAGGTTCCAAAGTTACTTCCCTTTCCAGGAAGCTTCTCTCCTTGTATTTTGTTTTCTTCTGGAAGCTTTAGCCCTTATTTCTCTACCTCCACTGTATTTCCAGGGACATCCTCCCTCCTTGGCTTTCCTTGCTCTTCTCCCCTACTGTCTTTTAATGGGACGCAGCTATTGAATTTCTTCCAGCTAAGCCCAGCCTCAACACTGCATCATTTCTCGTGGTCTGTGTGCACAAAACGGAGTTAATTAGGCTGAGTCCCTGAGCTGCAGGAAGACAGAGTTCATTTCTCCTTTCTGATTTCCCTCTTCCCTGTGTGGCACCATATCCCTCCATTTCTGTGTTTTAATGTAAATCTCTTTTCCGTTCATCTGCATTCATCTTAGAGAGAGATTCCCTGAGCTGGCTGATAGAGCAGGGTGCTGGGAATCAGGGGGAAGGCAAAGGAGAGAAAGGAACATACCCTGAATGGTCTCAGAGGTCATTGTGATCATAGCACATTAGGACAAGAAAAAGCTGAGCTGCTGTAAAGACTAAATACTAGGCATGCACCTGAGGGACAAAGGGCAGTCTCCCTAGATGTGGCAGGTATAGCTCTTCAATTGTATATGCTTGTAAATGGCAGTAGATTTGGCTGTGCTTGGGGTGTGTATAATGTTTACAAGAGGAAACACTGAATGTGCTTTTCCTGCTGTTTTAATAGGTGGTCTCTTCATCCGAAACACAGATCAGGAATACACTGCTTTTCGATTAGCAATTTTTCTTCATAACACCAGCCCCAATGCGTCGGAAGCTCCTTTTAATTTGGTACCTCATGTGGACAACATCGAGACAGCCAACAGTTTTGCTGTAACAAATGCCTGTAAGTAAAACATAAGTTATGAAAGATTAGATGAGAGTTAAAACCAAGCAATGGAGTCCTCCTCCTCTTTGTTATTATTTCTTTTTTTTTTTTAGATAGAATTTCAATATTCCCACAGTTGCCCGGTTTCAGGGCAAATCAGAGTTAACAAGACTTCAACTCAGGGATATTTAGCTGGTTTCTTTTCTTTTCCTTAATTTGATTTTCTTTTCTTTCTTCTCCTCCATTTCTTTGCTTCTTCCTGCCTTTCTCTCTCTCTCTCTTTTCATTACTTGTCTAGATCATTTAAGTTAAATTCTCCTTTAACATTTCAGTGTTTTTCCTATCAGTTGAATGTCAGTTTAGTGAAAATTGTACTCAAGCTTGTTTTTTATTTTGTTCCTTTGGTTTTTCTTATTTGCGTTTCACTTGAGTAAGCATAGGTCTTGCTTTTAAAGAAGACATATGCTCCTTTACACTGATGAAGGCCATGGAAGGCTTGCTAATGGTGAGAAAAAGAGGGGAGTGGTGGTGTGGAGGATATATATTTGAATCGGTTGGTTGACACTGCAGATGATCTGGTGATGTCACTTGAGGCTGCGCTGCCCTTATATTCTGGATTGTAAATGTCTCTTACTATCTTATAATGCATATGTCTTGTGGATATAACTCCATGAATCCTTACCTCGATGCCAAATCACGTTAGGCTCTGATCCACCTGAATTCACCAACCAACCCAGCATTATTTATTATCCCACACAATGAAACCAAACGGGTGACCTCACCTAATGCCGTAAGAAAGCAGTTGTACAGTTCCTTTCACCCTCGTGAGGATACTGTATAACTTAATGTAAAAAAGCAAATACAATCAGCTGTGCATATTAGTTTAAAATGCATTGAAACATGATCACTCAATAGCAGTTGTATTGCCTTTTCCGTCTTGAAGGAAGTGCATGTTTCAAATACCTCCTCACATTTATATGCTAATTTACCAGTTCTAAATTTATAAATTAAGATAATGACTATAGATTATTTAAGAAGTAGGAATAGTTTCTACATAAAAGTTTGCATGTTTCACAGTTAATAAAATGTTCGAGCTGAATTGTAAAGCCTTTTTATCGTATCGAGCTGGATGCCTTTTTATTTAAAATTCTTTCTCTGCAAGTGTGCTGAACAAAGAAACAAGTGAAATTGAAAACTAAGAGTTGTTAAATGTCTGGAGGACATCTGTGTCATCAACTTAAATATTTTAATTTGTATGTATTGGCTGTTAATTCATCTAACAGATAACATGATTCATTTTTCTTAATTTTTGGTGTCTTGAACTTTTAATTCTTTTGAGAACTTAGTTTCATGAGGAGGTTGAATCATGTGTCACTTTTGCAAAGTGTATAATTATATATTTTTCAGGAAGCCTATAGTTTCTATGAGTTTACTACTTAAATTTTAAAAATCTCTTGACATATTTGGTGATAAAATCAATATCGCATTAAACCAAAAGGGAGTTATTTTTAATCGCAAGTGTACATAAATTAGAACAAGCTTAGTGGATAGTCCCTTTTGTAAAATTTCTAAGTTATTAGTTGCATGTTCAGAGTTGTATAAGGGATGTCAACATTGCAATTAGTTCTAAGGAATGCATTCTTTTTAATACATAAATAGTATTTGCTTATTTAAATATTTTTCTCGTATCTCGCCTAACATTCTGTCAGTAGAAATCTTACTAGCTTTAAAAATAATCTATGATCCAAATACATGTGAAGGTATTTATCAATAGTAACTACTTTTTAAGTATTAAGAAAATTTTAAAAGATTTTCTTACAAGTAGCAGATATATCTGTTTTATTTTGTTTCATTTTTACAAATTAAGACCTTAAACATTCTAAAGTTTGTATTGCAACTTCCAACAATGTAAACAAAAAGGCTAGTCCTCTTTGTCTCCTTTTTGTTTGTTAACCTCATTTGGGATAATTTTAACTAGTATTATTTTATTTATGTAATAAAAATATATATGAAATGAAATGTTCCTGGGAAAGTATTTGTAAACATGATACCTTATTAGGAAGTTGCATGCAGAATTAAAAATACAACAAGTAAGAAATATAGAGTATGCTATCCTTTAACATATAAGAATTGAGAAAACTGAGACAAGTTAACTTTGTCTGTTTATTTTGAATCCAGGTATAACACAGTATTAGTGATCTAATTTTTTTATAATCACATACAATTAATTTTGTGTATGTTTAAATTAAAAAAAACAAATTGTAAATCAGGAGAAAACACTTTCTATCAGAAAAAAGGAAAATTATTCTGACAAATGAGTATGCTGAACATCCTTAAGGCAAATCTAAGCAGAATTTGAGAAAAATCAATAGTCAGAGAGTGTGGGTCAGGTGATTGGTCTTTGTTGAATGGACTGACCGAGAGCATACAGACTAGTGATTTTCCAATCTAATTAAAGATAAAATGTAAGCAGTAAATATAAGGCAACCTCATTTATCAAGCGCTATGCCTTTGAGTACAAAAAGGTAAAAATAGGTCTTAAAACTTAATATTCTAGAGAATTAACATGAAACTTATTCCTCACCATAATATGGACTGGATTTTTAAATTTGTCATGTTAGATTAAATATAAAGACATAATATGT